CACTCCTCGGAAGGAAGGTTGGGCAATCTACTTCCATAGTGATACCGCCTCGGAAACCCAAGGAGGGGTCACTATGAGTCGGGTCCTACTCGATGGCACACAACAAGGAGCTGGGTGAAAACCCCTCGACTTTGGGCTTCAGCTCTGCCTCCTGCTCCAGGCCCACTGAAGCTAGAGGCTTTTCTTCACTCCGCTGCTAGCTGCTGAGGCTGACAAACCCAAGGTCAACAAGTGAATAGGCACAGTCCTGATATTACCAAACCACACGGCAGGCCATTGATTCAGTCCATTGAAAGTCCAAATTCGGCAGAGCATGGCAGGCTGCTGAACGACATGGCTACACGCAGGGTTAAACGTGCCATAAGCTAGAGACTGTTCCCCAAGGCTTCTCCTTATATACAGGAAGCAGACCACATCCCTAAGGCAGTCACTCAGCTGCTCACAGTAGATTCCACCATGGAGTTGATTACCAGTCTCATCATGGGGAATAACTCAACCAGGCCCAGCCAAGTTGACACACAAACTTAACTGTCACAATTCCACCCCTCGTCAACTTGGCACCTGTACAGATCTTCAACGGGTGGCATCTGTACTTATCGCCTTCACTGGGTGGCTGCAGTCCCCTAGTTTGAGTGGCAACCTCACCCCCTCGGCCTGCTGGGCCCCATTCCTCTCCCTCTTGGGCATGGCAGCCCTGCCCCCTCACTCTTGGGCAGTGGCTATGGCTCCATCTCCCTAGCTCACACCAACGAGTAGCCCCACACCCCAGAACCAAGTTGGTGAAGCTCTAGCTGTTTGAAACCTGGGGGGCTCTGGTGGTTCCACCTCCAAAGGCCATGGTCCTACCATCTGAGGCTGAGGCAGCCTTGCTTCCCATTTCCATGGTCTGTCCACTTCTGCTGATTAATGCCAAAGGCAACCCACTCCACCAGAAATCCTCCTGCCCCAAAAGCACTCAGCTTTCTTGCATCATGGACTGGCTAACGTACTACTCCATTTCATGCAGGTCTCTTCTACCAATAATGCCCAAAAGATCAGTGTATTATGCAGGATTATTTACTATGTAGATTAGTTTAGCTCTTAGCTCTACTATTTTTAGAATTCTGGAGATACTTTTTGTATGTGTAAAGAACTATCTTTTCTAAATTAGAGAATTAAGGAGACAAGTATTTAAATGCCTTCAATTACATCCTCTCAAAATATGTCAACTTGGCTGGGCCATGATTCTCAGTGGTCTGGCAGTTATGTAAGATGTAATCTGATGAGATCAGCCAATCAGTTTTAAAGATATTAGGGTGAGATGCAACACCTTTACTCACCTGATTCAATGTAAGGGAAGTTTCCCTGGCCATTGCCTGCATCACCTTTTATCTTACAAGAGATAGGAGACAGAATTGAGTAGAGAAGAGGGACCTCCTTACTACCAAGAAGAGCCATGAGTGAAGCAAGCCCTTCGGACCATGGAGGGGTTCCTGTGCTGAGAAGCTTCTAGGCCCAAGGGAAGACTGATTATCAAGATACATGGAGATCTCCAAGGAATGCAGGACCAACAGATGTTGAAGGAAAATGAGAATTTACCCTCGGACCCAAGAGAGAAAGAAAGCCTTCTAGAGCTAGTTTTATGAATTCAGACTTCTAGCCTCCTAAACCATGAGAGGATAGATTTGTTTTAAAGCCATCCACTTGTATTTCTGTTACAGCAGCATTAGATACCTAAGACAGTAAGCAAACTCAGACAGTCAGGATGCAGGTAAACATACTTTTTGAAACTACCAGTAGTTACTGAGGTCTGCTGTTATGAGCATGTATTAGTACTATCCCTACTTATATACCCCAAAAATGTAATCCAGCCTATCCTGAATGGAAAATACACAATTTATAAAACAATGCAAAATGGTATTTATTTACATTAAGATGTGAATTATCTGTATACAGACAAATTTAAGAGGCACAATCTGTTATGCACAGTAACTGTAATATTCAATACGTTACACGTAGTAGTATCTGTTGATTAGTCAGTGGTTTAAGTAAAAACACAGTACCAAAACATTACTGATACAAAATAAATTACTCATTCACATTTTCTAATCATACAAGACATTTAATATTTTAAAAGGTATGTACTTCAAAAAACACTAGGTAGATGTACAATGAAAGCATATTAAGTTTGCTTTGTGAAAAATGTCTTCAGACTGTTATGCATAAATGATCCCTTTCAGGATGCATCCTTAACTTTTAAATAAAAACTACACTGATTTCAAGACTATATATATAGTTGCAAAACATGACTGAAGACAGACATTCTTTCATTTTTTAAAAGTATAACTATACTAGAGAATATGCTAAACTATTGCCCCAAAATTCCAACACTGCCATTCAGTATTTCAGTCTAATTTTTCAAATTCCAATTTTAGTGTGAGAATATGTTTTACAGATTGTCTTGAATTATCTGAAATATTTGAGAAAACATTTGTTTTCTTTTTTAAACTTAAAATGTTTTAGATGAAAACTAATACTATACAAGGAGATTCTGAGATAAATTGACTAATTTTCTCTCAAAGACCTTTACAAAAAGGCATTTTTCAACCCTCAAATCTACTAAAGATTTATATAAAGTCTAAGAGGATACTTGAGTATTTTCATAATGCAGTGATGGATTCACCTTTGGCATTTCTCCTTTAGTTGTAAAATAAAACTTATCTACCTACCACAGACATTTTTACACAAAAGTATTTGAAACTTGTGTTTCAACAGCAATTTCATTGCTAAGAAACATTTTAGTTCTGCAAAATACTAATAACAATGTTTTGTTTTTTACTATGAAAAATCACTTTATTTTGATGTTATTGAAATGAATTAGTTCTCCTTTTCTAGTGATTAGAAATTCAATATCCTTTCAAATTCAACAATGGATAAAGCAGACATACTTTACATTAACAAAAATGTTGATCAGGGTATAATTTTTTATTATCAATATGAAGCATGCCTCCATTAAGGAAATAAAAATTATCTTCAAATAACATGGGCACCACAGAAATAGAACTGTTACTTCTTTTTTTATTTTGCGGGGGGGGGGGGTTGTCCCTGTTTCTTTTCCTATAAAGAGGGACAAAACAAAAAAATAGAAATGCTAAGATTTCAGCTGATTTCCATATTGTTTCCTGTATTCCCAAAGCTTTTACTCTAATTACACATTAACTTTAAAGATGAAAATAGTCCAAATGTGATTATTTTAAAATTACAATAGGACAAAGTAACAGGGCTTTTAAAACTGAGCATCTTCTCTGTTCACAAATAAATACAAGAGGAAATCTTGGTAAAACTAAACCAAGTACCATGATAGCTCTAATGCAAGATAAAATCTCCATTCCTTACTGAAAATAAACAAAGAAAATAAAGCATAGAAGAAAAATAAATACAGTAGGTAACTGCCAATGTTTGCAACAGTCATAACAAAAGTACAGATAGCGATGATGGCTTTTACTGTGACATTAACACATTGCAAAACTGCATTTACTCATTCTCGACTATTTTCTAACAAGGGAGAATCATGGACATCCAGGCAGAGTATGATGCACAGCAGAGAGTAGACTCAGAATATAAACTGGGTGTTTCTACTACCTGTATTTGACACATTTGAATAAACTTGTAGCAACTTTAGAAAGAAAATAAATTGCTTGATCTCTTAAATAAGTCAAGAAATCTAGAAAATAAAGGCTACTTGAACAGGACAAATAAAGGGATACTCTGTGAAATTTAATTTGCTATAGTATATGGCAGTTAATGAATAATATGCAGCTTATATTTGTAATACTATTATCTCCCAACCAATGCAACTACCTGCTATCAACACTGTCTTTCCAGTATAGTTCAAATTAATAGTTACATATAATAACCAAGTAAATAAATTAACAGCAACTGCCAATACAATTAGGAGCTCTGGTAGCATAGTGCCTAAGGTATGTGACTGCTAACCAGAAGGCTGGCGGTTCAGACCCACCAGCCACTCCTCGGAAGGAAAATGGGGCAATCTACTTCCGTAGTGATACTGCCTCGGAAACCCCAGGAGGGGTCACTATGAGTCGGGTCGGATAAGACTCGATAGCACATAACAACAACAACAGCTAATACAATTTATTAAGAACTAGGAATCTTATAATTGCCAGTATTTAATTTTTATAGAATATAATTTTAAGTTCTTATGATTTCATATCTACTTCCAGAATCCAGAAAATACAGCCATCCATGCTCCTATTAAGAGTTTTACATCAATTTCATCTATCATTTTAGAAAGTACTTGTTAGAATGGAACCTCTCCAAAATAAAGTGAGGATTGCTCTGGTCACACTGGATCATGAACAAAATATGTAAAATTTTTATATATCTAAATGATTCCCTCTAGGTAAATTTTAGACAGAGACTTTCTTTTTTGGAGCAGGTAATCTGATAAAAGGTCATATGATCACAAATAACTAATTCTCCATAGTTCAGTTGAAGTTGGTTTTCTGTAAATGCTTATTGGGAATTTCTAAAGCACTGACTTGGAGAGGCCAAGAGCCTCCATCAATTCCTGCTTGGATAGCCACTCCAGTCACCACTGCTAGGTCAGGGTCTACAGATGTGTTGGGATCCTTTCCAAAAAACTCTTGAATAACTTGGCGGATTCGAGGAATACGAGTAGAGCCTCCAACTAAAACCACCTCATCAATTTCAGTCTTTTCCAGGTGGCCTTCTTTTAATACTTGTTGAATAGGTACTAGTATTTTCTGGAAGAGATCTTCATTAAGAGTGTCAAAAAGCTCCCGTGATATTTCAGTTTCAAATAAAACTTGATTTTCTCCACTTTTCTTTTCAGAAAGGTCAGCTCCAAGCCCACTGTTCACATGGCGGGCATCTGCTGGAGAAAGTGTATCCTCTGGCAGTTCAGTGTCAGTATTTTGAGGTTCCTTCTTGTCCTTTTCCTCCACTGTGAGTAATACTGACATCTGTGCCAACTGATGAAGAGTCAGGTTTAATTTGACCATTTCCACAGCTTGTCTTAATCTGTGGATTTCCTCTTTCCTAGAGGGGAGGAAGCCGTATGTTTGATGGATCTGTTTATATAAGTACTGAAGCAGTCTCTGATTGAAGTCCTGTCCTCCAAGTTTATTGTTTCCTACATTAAAAATAAATATTTATATTAAATTTATGCATATGTGTGCAGCATACATATGTCTGTGTGTATGTATAAAAATGGTGTTCTGGCAGTAATCTATCCCTTCTTATTAAAAACTGATTAAAAGTTACTGGGTTAAAATAATTTAAACCCAAATATACAATATTAAGAAATAGTGTCCATTTAGGTTAATTTTTTAAAAATGAAAGTATCTCTATCAAATGATGTTTCAGAAAAGAGAGACTGAGAACACAATTGGCTTTTAAATAGCAATTTAAACACACTAAAAGGTCATTATTCTCAAGCAAAGGAAAGTTCTTATTATTAAAAATTACAAGTAGACATTTTAACATTATCTTGTTAATCTTTGATTGTACAAGTAAGAGCTGAAAAGTAGAAAAAAATAACTTCAAAAGAGTAATGTAGTATAAATCTCCAGCACTGAACTTGGTTCTAAATAGAATCCAGTTAAGACGAAGAAAAATGCAGAGGTGAGATGACCTATAACTTATAGCTCAACTTTTCACACAAGTTTAATTTCTTTAAAAACCAAACAAACAAAAAAAATTAAGAAAGAAAGAAAAAAAAAGATTTACAATGCAAATTTTATCATTTCCTAGAAAACATATTATTACATTTTTTAAAGATACCCATTTTCTATTTTGTAAGACAGATTATCAAATGAAATAGACTGCACATTTTTCACTTTGAAGGGATTTTTCTTTCCTTCTGTTCTCTTTACCATATGTACGAACATAATTGCCTCAGTCACTACAACTATTGCCTCAGTCACTACAACTGGCATTATATTTATTTAATTTACAGAATGCCCAGACATTTTTGAGACCTAATTTTTTGCTGTGAACATATATAAATCGTGGTATAAAACGACTTGTACAGAATATTACCAAAATGAAGTAGAAGAATTCTGGGGGTAGGGGGTTGGTGGTATGAGGATGAACATTTTACACATTAGGTATGTTAAAGAAAGCATTTCCTGAACCTCTTTAACCATCATTATGGTTTTCTTACCAGACATTGCTCGGGTTAGAAACATTCCTCCTTGTTTATTCAGTAATGACACATCTAGTGTTCCTCCACCCAAATCTATTACCAAGACATGAAAGACGTCAGCCTTGTGGAGACCATATGCCATAGCAGCTGCTGTGGGTTCATTGATTACTCTCAAGATCTTCAGTCCTGTCAGATGGGTTGGAAGGAAGAGCAACTCATGAGAGGACCCTATGAAGAAATTCCTTTCCACTCACCATCACAGCATGTTAATATCTTCTATGGTACTAATGCTACTGATTAACAATAAGGACAGTCACAAACCCAATAAAAATAACGAAAAGGGAAGGACAAATACAGATTTTTCCAAAGGTTGTCATAAAAATTACTCTAATAGAACATTACAATATAAAGAAATAAGGGCCAAGGTTCACTGGAATAAGTCACTCTATTCTTTATTAATATTTAATTTTTAAATATCTCTCAGCCATTTTTAGATTTTATTTTCTACTTGGGACTAAATGAGCAATAAAACTTTAATCACTCTGTCACATAATTAATCTCTGTGGGAGCAGGATATGCTTCCTATGCTTTTAAAATGACTTTTGGATCAAAATAAGAAATGGATGAATACACAGAAATTATTACCAAAAGAAAAATCTAGATGAAATGCTCCAATAGCTACAATGATATTCTTAAAAAGTACTTTAAATTAACTACCACACTTAATGAGTAGCCCGGAAAGTAATATGACATTATATATTAGGAGCCATAACCACTATTCAGACTCTGAGGAATTTATGCAAAGACCATAATATTCCTCCCCTCAGCATTCTGACCTCATCATTTACTCTTACCAGCCACACTGGCCTCCTTTCTATTCTCATAGGTACCAGCATATACTCATTTTATAGATGTTGCATTTCTTCCATGTATCTGCATGGCTAGTTACCTCACTTACTTCAAATAAGCTTAAAAGTCATTCTCCCAAGTTTTATCTGGTCTTCTTATTTAAAACTCATAAATCTGCCACCCTCTAACTACCACAAGTAATCCTGCCCCTTAAATCTGCTTTTTTTCTTTGCATAGTGTATTACTTTCTGACATGCACTGTGCTATTGGCCCTTAACAAGGGTGCTTTTGCTCTCCAAGGACATTTTACAATATGTGGAGACATTTTTGATTGTCACCACTTAGGGGAAAGGTGTTAACTAGCAGAAACCAGGAATGCTGCTAAACATTCTGTAATATACATAGGACAGTCCCCCTCAACAAAGAATTATAGAGTCAAAATGTCAATAATGCCAAGGGTGAGAAACTGCACAATATACTTGTCTTCTATGATTATTTTCTATTTTCCATCAGTAAAATAGTTATATACTTTTTAAATGGACTCACTCTTTAGTTTTTTTTAAACATTATATTCATCTTAAAAGTAAAGAAAGTATGGAAGAAAAACTTTTACTGTTAACACACACCTATCTTCTCTCAGCCTTTGTCCACATGCCTACTTTACATCTGACTGGTTGTTATCATAACATACACATTTTCCATTGTGCCACAACACTTTCAAAATTACCATTTGTAAGCCTGTATCAAAATCCATCTCATTTCCCTACCATACAGTTTACTTATGCATCCATAGGTAGGTGACTTGCAATTTGATATACCTTACTATAGATTTTCAACTAAACACAATTTTTAGAAAAATCCAACATGGGAAAAAGTGTTATTACCTGCAAGGTTTGCAGCTTCAATTGTTGAATTTCTCTGTTTTAGATCAAATTCTGCTGGGACAGAAATGACAGCATTGGCAACTGGCATTCCAAGATATTCCTCTGCCATTTTCTTTAACTTCAGTAATAGCTGAGAGCCAACATATTCTGGAGAGACGGTGATGGTCTCATTACTTGTCACAGAAAACTCAACCATTCCATTTTTGTTTAAAACCTGTGAACAGAATTGGCCAAAAGTATAAAAGTGTTTGTGTGTGTGTATATATATATGTGTGTGTGTATATAGATCTATCTATATATATATATATAGATAGATCTATATACACACACACACACACACAGATATAGACAGATATATATAAATATCCTTATACACATACATCCATACCTACTGGGCTTATTCAATTAACATTTACCCTTACCTTTGCAGGATCATAAAATTCATTACTAATTACATAAATGGAAGACTAAAGATTCTCAACATATTTTACTGAAAGAATGAATGATGAAATAGAAGTAAGCTGCTAAATCATGTATATGTCTCAGGATTTATTCATTTCTTTCTTATTAGCTTGTTTCCAAAAGTAATAGATACTGGAGAAAATTTTTCATTCTGTTCTTATGCAAGTACGAAATACCACTCATATTATTCTTGTGTCTATGACAATATGTAATGTGTATTAGGAGCTCTGGTGGCGTAGTCCTTAAGCGATTTGACTGCTAACCAGAAGGCTGGCAGTTCAAACCCACCAGCTACTCCTCAGAAGGAAGATTGGGCAATCTACTTCCATAGCGATACTACCTCAGAAATCCAAGGAGGGATGGCTATGAGATGGATCCAACTTGATGGAAGTGAGTTTGGGTTTTTTTTTGGTTTATTAGTCTATTATCTCTATCAGAATGGATGCATGTTTAAAGAAATGGATTGATTCTAAAACATGGTACCCAAGATTACTGACAGATTGTAATAATATCAATAGTAAGCAAGATTAGTCACTTCTAAGAAATTACATGAATTTTCCCCAAGTCATTCTGGACCTCATTGTTGTTATTGTTATGTGCCGTCGAGTCCAACCAGACTCATAGCGACCTCTCCTTGGATTTCCAAGGCAGTATCACTATAGAAGTAGATTGCCCCATCTTCTTTCCGAGGAGTGGCTGGTGGGTTTGAACCGCCAGCCTTCTGGTTATCAGTCAAATGCCTTAGGCACTATGCTACCAGAGCTCTTGGACCTCATTAATAGGTCTCAATCAAGAAAACCTGACCTCACAAAAATTATTTCACCATCTGAGAAAACCAAAAACAAGCTATAGACACCGAAAAAAGGTACAAAGTACAACTAGAGTCCACATGAAACAGAAACAACAAAAATTAAATATTTAGAAACTTAAAAAAACAGAACTCAAAATACCTCTAGGTATAATAATTTAAAACACAATTATTGACTATTTAGAAAACAACACCATAAATCAAAACTTAAGTCATGTAGCCAAAGGTGTAATTAGAGAAACTGTATAGCTTTGGATGTTTTTATTATTACCTAAGAAAGATTATAAATCAGGGATTCAAAATGGAGTCTTGTCAGTAATCACCACGCTTCTCACCTCTAGTATCTTAGTGCTTGCAAAACTAGGTACAGCAGTTTGAATTAGGGATTTTGGTGATCTGAACAGCTCACTGAATCAGAGTGCACCAAACACAGAGGAGTAGAATTAGAAGAAAGGCATAGGGAAAGAAATTAAAGATCTACCCAGCAGAAAGCAGACAGGCAGCCAAGAAACGCCATTAGAGACATCCCTGGGGGAGCAACCAGCAGGCGAGAAAAGCCACCTGAGACCTCCCTGGGCCAAGGCAGAAGACACCCCATATCAGCAAACCAGTGACCACACCACCATACCAGCAAACACTCCAAGGATCTACCTTCAGCACCTGCTTTTATTGGTAACTTGGGTCAGCTAGGTGCAAATGGGAACATACAGCACCACTGAAACCCAAGCAGAGAGCTCATTGGTGCTCCAGGAAGGTGAGCTCGCTCCTCCCTCAGCGGGTCACTGAATAGGCTTGGGTCAGCTTAAGTGGCTTTGAGAAGTCTGTGCTTGTCGTTATCACTAATATTGGGACCACAGATTACTAGCAGGCACTCTCCCGACTCCAGCACAGCTGAAACTGCATGCATCTTTGGCGCCACAGGTGGGTGGACTGACTGATAAATTCCCAAGCTGATCGTGGTCTGGGCCAGTGCTGCAGGCAGGCGGGGTGGAGAAACATCCATGGCCAACTGCGGACATGGGAATTTGCCTTGGATTGGCTTTTGTGGCACCAAGGGGCTTTGGGAGCAGGGTCTTTGCGTGTGTCTGAGCCTGGTGGAAAGTGGCGACCCCCTAACAACAGGAATCTTTCCTGAAATTGAGCTGTAAGCTTGTAAATAACAGTATGACATCATCAGTAGTAGCCTGCTCAAAGCCCTAGAAACTGACCCAAGCAACAGCAAGCTTTCCTTCTTCTACTCCCACCTTCTCTGCCAATAACTTCACTCATTCAATAGAAGAAACCATATTCAGCCAACATAAAACATCCCAGTTCAAACTCTAAACCCTCTTTATGATAAACAGAAACCTATATCCACATTCCACACAGTGATTCCACCATCACAAAGAAAACTGCAGAGCAACTCAGCATACCTGAATCAATAATAAAATAAAATACACCAGCTTCACCTTTACAAAATATTAACTATAAAACCAAGACAAAACATATCAATACGTAACCAACAGTTAAAGACAACCTCAAAATGTCTAAGAAACAAGAGGCAATCTCAAATCAAACAAAAAAACAGGACAAAGCATTAGAAGCAAAACCACAAACATAGGTCTCATTATACATGAAGGAAGAGGAGGCAATAGAATTATCTGAGAAGGAATTTAGAACATATGTTTATAGAGCTATACAAGAGCCTAAGGAAACCCCAAACAGAAATAAGAACACAGACAGTTCCCTGAAGGAACTCAGGAAAATCAGTGAGGGACAGAATTTTAAGATTAATGCACAATCAGAACTCATACAAAAGCAGCAGTCAGAAATGCAGAAGATGTCTACCAAAATGCAGAGCATGAGCACCAAAATGACAGAATTACACAACACAGTTGAAGCACAAAAGAGTAGGTTAGAACTGGCTGAAGAACACACATCTCAACTAGAAGACAAATGCCTGGAAACTAGCCTGTATGAAGAAATCAGAACAAAGATTTAAGAGAAATGAAGAGAATCTAAGAATTACATGTGATGACATGAGACGAAACACTGTAAGACTCTTTAGAATTCCAGAACAAGAAGAGGCGAAAAAGACCACCGAGAAAATTGTGGAAGACCTGCTAACAGAAAACTTCCCCCATATCATGAAGGAAGAAAAGATATTTGCCCAAGAAATTCATAGAACCCCACACAACATAGATCCTAAAAGAGAAACACCGAGACATATTATAATCAAACTTTCCAAAACCAAAGACAAAGAAAAAATTTTGAGAGCTACCTGGGAAAAAAGAAATATTACTTATAATAATCAAACAGTTAGGCTGAGCTCCGATTACTCAGCAGAAACCATGCACGCAAGAAGGCAATGGGACAGCATATATAAAACACTGAAAGAAAAAAACTTCCAACCAAGAATCCTATATCCAGCCAAATTATCCATCAAATATGAGGGTGATATTAAGGCACTTAGATAAACAGAAATTAAGGGATTTTGTAAAAGCCAGACCAACCCTACAAGAAAGGCTTAAGGAAGTCCTTCTAATAGAGAAACTACGACAGAGATCAACAAAACCAGGATACATGTCATGAACGCTAAAAACAAATCAGAAATAGATACTCAAAATAAGACCATAAAACATTATACCTTAAAAACCAAGTAACTAAATCAGCACACAACAACAGCAACTAACCTACCAGAGGGAATAATACTTCTAAGTACAGACCCTTAAATGGAGAGGAAAACATGACAGTGTCTTCACAGCACACACTGTTTTAAAAATGTAGAGACAAAAATATACTCCAGAGAA